CCAGCATGCTTTTCACATTTCTCCCAGAGGTAGTTTGCAACTTCCGGGAAGGGAGGTGCGCAGGCTCAGGCGGCAGGCTGGGGGCAGACTGTGTCTTCAGCTCAGGATTTACACAAACAAGCCCACCTCCCCCAGCCTGGACAATGCCCGCATTCACAGCAACCTCAGAGCTCCAACATTGTGCTGAGGAGCAGGAAAAACTCTAGACTTGAATTGAGGATAAATTGGTATTCACTAAATGGCACTTCTGAATTTACTGCAGCCTTCGCCTTTGGAGGGAATTGCCAAGGTGCTCATAAAAGGAGAAATGATGAATATTCAGGATGTCTTTTGAATCCATTAGGCAACTGGGGATGAGGTCTCCATATGTAGACTTCTGCCTCCCTCCTCAGCTCTTAGGGAGGCTGCCAAAATGGCCGTCTGCTCAGCAAATGGCCGCTAGGTTTGCCAATGGGGATGAAGTCTCAATGCCAAAGGTCAAGTCCATGGAAATAAACCTGCTTTAGGAGTTTTTGCAAAGGAAGAGATCTATAAATTTTGGGTTCCTGGACACAGTGAAGGAGGGGATGTGTCTGTCTGATTGTAAGAACACAGATCAAAATGCAGTAGCAGCCTGTTCATCGGATGGCTGGCCTTGCTCTCCCAGGAGGAGACCTTCTGCAGGTCTTGCTGTGTCCCCACATGGGAAAACCCACAGCCGTTTGTATAGGGGCCTCCTTCACTTCTTTCAGTGAAGTCAGGAACCTCAGCTGAGGTTCCTCGAAGCAGCCCTGTCTTTATCTCCCTGCAGACTTCAAAATACTTGCGTCCATGCCTGCTAACAGGTCCTGAGCCTTGCTTTTGTGATATACAGAGAGAACTGGTGCACTCTTTGCACTAAAAGAATTTTAAGAAGTAATTCTAACATGGATCATCAACTCCCAGGTGTACTAACATAGATCAATCACTCCTCAGGAAAAGGGAGTTTCTGGAAAAGGGATAATTTAAGTAACTTATCATTTCCTTGCCTTTAAAATAAAGGAGAGGAGTCAAATTCTAAAGCAGAAGGCATTTTTGTAAGATTCTCTGCTTGGGCCTGGACGGCAAATCAACATGCTCCTTGTTAAAGGGGGATGTGCGCAGAAGTGCATCTCTAGCACAACATCAGATCGGCCGCATGGAAAGACTGTGTCAATGCAGAGGAGACGGTGACCCATGTGGGCAGGGAGGAGAGAGAGAAAGTGGCAGAGCCCAGAAGACATGAAAGTCAAGTTCAGCAGGACGGGAGAAATGAAAGAGATGGCGTCTCAGGTGGAGGGTCCAGCTGGGGTCACAGCTGGGGCAGAAAAGCACAAAGAAAAGTGAGTGACCAAGTGGACATGCCTCTGATTATTTTGTTGGAAACACACAGAGCCCTCAGGGAAATCATGCGTCTGTCCCACGTTCTAAATCAGGAATCAAAAAATATTGTCATGTATCTCCAAAGTCCCTTCCAGAAATAACATTCTGTGATTTCTGTAATTCTAAGTGACAGGAAAAAGTTCTCTTACTCTGTAACAGTCTTGTACAGAATGGTCTCTCTTCTTTCTTGTTTTATGTGCAAACATGAAATCAGAGTGGAGGGTGCGTTTGCCAGCCTGGGCCCCAAGTAAACTCCACCATGAGACCCCATGCCAGGGAGGACCAGAGCCGCAGGAGGAGACGGGCACCAGGGCATGGATGCCTCGGACCAGGGCCCCCTTCTGCAGTCCTATTCCAAATCCCACTTACGCCAGTGTCATCTGTCTTCCTAGTGCAGTGAGAAGAACTGGAGCTGAGCGAGTCACTCCTTCCCCCCATTCAATCCTGAACAGCACCCTGCAGCTATGCCTCCTTCCACTGTGCTAAGAGGCAGAAAATAAAATAGCAATCCCAAGATCTCTGGTGCTCTAGGCAGGAGCACGTGAGTGTTGAATCTCCTAGCCTGACCTTCAGCCACCTTCATCCTACTCCCACCTCATTAAGGGTCCATAAATATGTACTACATCTCATAAATATAATTAACTCCAGAGTATATTCTAAGACAAGCATGCATGTTGAGAGCCCCTTAAGATGAGTTAGCACCCTGTCAATCACACCTACAGATTCAGGGGAGGCACCTGGGCTGAGGTACAGATCCTTTCAATTCCAAAAGCCCAATTTCTCTGGAGGGCCCTCTGGCTGCTTCTGTGTGCTGTGACCCCTGTGCAGTGCCTTTACTTTTCTGCCAGCTTGGCACCATTTTTACACCTGTGCCATATCTTGTGGGCATGCACTTGGCCCCGAGCACCTCTCATGATCTTCAATAAGTGTAGCTGCTTGCCACTTGCTTCCAGATGTATACTCGACAATCCTTTGCTCAGCATACACAAGAGCCTGGACTACATCTGCCCATTCCACGGTAATACCCCCTCCACCAGGTCTTCTGCTTCCTCACGTATCACCCGAGAGTCTGGGGCAGAGACCAATAAAAAGACAGAAGCAGGAAACATTTATCTGAGTGCCTGTGTGGTTTCATTTGTGTCCACTGCATCGTGGGCAGTGTATACACAGCAGAAAAGAGTGTCGGGGCCCAGAGAGGACATGTCCTGCCCGCTCCCAGAGCTGGGCCCACCTGAGCTTGCTCTTGTTCTGCTCCAAGCCCCTCCAACTTACCACCCCCAAAGGAATCACTGAGCCAAGGGGAAACTTTCTAAAACACTAATGCATCACAACCTGTAATCATGTAGGACATTATGAAGAACTAGGACATGAACAGGAATGAGGATATTGTGGCATAGACATGAAACGGTACAGTCCATCATGACATGGCATATCATGAAACAGGGCACATACGGCAGTATTTAGAAAGCATTTTGTGACACACTCAAATTCTAGTGTACCACGCTAAAAGCACAATTCCTAACAAAAATATTGACATGTTGGGCTTTAACAAAATCAAAAATTCTTGATTGTAAAGATACTGTTAAAAAAACGAAAAGACCAGGAAAAACTATTTGCAGCTCGCATATCTGATAGAAGATTGTGTCTTGATAACATAGAATTTTTTTTTAATTCCCTTCAAACTTAACAAGAACCAAATGAAGCATAACCACAAACATGTGTTTGCCAGCTTAACATCCCTGGAAGGAAATAGCCAGCACCTGCAATGTAACGGAGGAAGGCTTTTTGGCTTGTGGTTCAGAGTTTCAGTCCATGTCAACTGGCTCCAAGGCAGGAGCATCACGGCAAAAGGGCCTGGTAGAAGAAAACTGCTCACCTTCAGGGATCCAGGAAGCAGAGAGCAAGAGAAGACTCAGAGAGGAAGGACTACGTATATTCCCCAAGATTACACTCCGATGACCCACCCAGGCACACCCAGAGGTGTGCTCTACCAACCTCCTAGGCATCTCTCAAGCCCATCAAATTGATCAGCAAGATTAACCAGCACAGCACCTATAAGAACGGCAAAAAAATTTTCAAACTAAAACTGCAATTCCACATGCTGGAGAAGATGAGGAAAAGCAGAAGCTGCTATGCTCTGCTAACAGGGATGCAAGAGTGTAAACCAATTGGCCGCCTCTTACATAATCAAGCAGACCCTCCCCACACAAGCAGGTAGTCCCAGACCTAAGTGTCTGCTCAAGTAAATGGGAAGCATACATGCACCTAAAAACCTAAACTGGAATGCCAATTGTAGGTTTATTCATCGTTGGCAAAATCTAGAAACAGCTCAGATGTCCTAACAGGTGACTGGATAAAATAAACTGATGTATCCATGGGAGGAGAGGCCGTGCCACACAGAGGAATAGAGACTTGATTCACACCACAAAACCCTCCCTGTGCACTGTGACCAAGCCCCTCTCCCACCTAGAGAAAGTCTGCTTCCCCCACTTTGGGAACCTGCACCACCTGCTGAGTTCCTGGGCTGGATAACAAGCAGGGGAAGGTGTGCTGTGCAAGGTGCAAGCCTGGGCCCCAGGAAGCCCTGGGCATCTTCCTTTCTTGCAAGCCTGCCCCCAGTAAGTAAGCACAGCCCAGCCTGCTACAGAACAGAGCCTCACAAGTCAACAACGCATGCCCAAGGTCAGGCTATCCAGCCGTCCCCCATGACCCAGCAGAGAGGACCACAGGCGGAAGAGGAGCCCAGCTGGGATTGACTGACCTGCACTGCTGACCCCTCTGGAGCTAAATGAATGGTCATCATTTAAAGCTATCATGTCTTGGGATTGCTTGTTACACAGCAGCAGCTGCCGAGTGAAACTAGCAGAGCTTGATCCTTAAGGGAAGGGCTGAGACAAAGAAGTTAGATTGTCACAGGGAGTCAGATGGCTTCGAGAGCCACACAGACCCAAGGAGAGGTTTGGAGGTGCAGGGGGTGGTCCTAAAGGCCTAAGAGAGCAGCAGCTTTTAAGTAACAGAAACAGTCACTGAAACACCATTTGGTGATGAACACACAAATAGAAACAACTACTGTGACCTCCTCATAAATAGAAAAAAACTCAGTCCCCCCTTTGGTTACGTACATGCCCCACAGCCCACTGTCTGCCTTTTGGGTAGAGGAGCTCGCAGGCTAGCAAAGGACCCCTGCAGCCCACAAGCCCCGTGTCTGCAGTGGCTGTGACCTTATCGCCCTTTTCTGCCACCCCCAAATGGCCCCTTCATAGGCTCAGGCCCTGTGACACCTGGCCTACTGCTCTCTTTTCCTTATTTACTTTCTCTTAATTTGCCTAAACCATTACGGCCCTGTTTCTGAGCCCCTCCCTGGCTCCCCTCCCTCCGTCCACTGTTTCTCCCTCCCCCTTTGTGTACAGGAGTTAGAGAACCAGATCTCTCCCGCTGCACATCCCTCTGGCGGGAACAGCCCTAAGCCTGCCCCTCAGCCCCACAGAGGTCAGCAGGTGGAAGGACAGTTGGGGAGCCATTCTGTGCTAGAGGGCCCTTCCCTCTGGCCCATCCACCAGGCACTGGGATGTGGGGTGAGAGATGGTGCCACCCTTGGCACCGGGCCTGGGTTAACTCACAGCTGGGCCACCGGGCTGCAGGCCCTTGGAGTCAGGTGGCCTCCTGGAAGTGTAGTTCCTTCATCAGTACCAGCACAGTAACGAGCTTTTCCTCGAATGGGGCTGTGAGCACTGGGTGATGCTGAGCTCACCCGAGCAGCCATTCCACGTCAGAGCCAGAGATGCCTAAGTAACGACCCAGCGATGTCCGGGACACCAGGATCCCCCTCCTGCCGCCGATCACGGCTGTCCCCGTTGAGCCATCACCTCTGCCTTGCTGCTCTCTGGCCCCTGTGCGGGCTCTTCCCAAGCCTGGTACCAGCCCGTTTCCCCCCTGCTGCCCACGCCGTCCCCTCCCCGGCCCCGAGGGTGAGGTCACTCGCTGTCCAGCCCCTCCCAGCCAGCCCGTCCTGTGAGAGGCAAGGCCACCAGGCCAGGCCGGCATCGTCTTAATGAAGCCATTTGTTCCTCAAATGATTCAGCGAACGAGTGAAAGTGCAGTGATGATTAGGGAGAAAGGGGAAATGCGCAAGAGGACGCGGCCTGGTGACATCAAGGCCATACAGTGTGGCAATCGCTTTCCTCAACCAGCTGCTGCCTATTTTGAAACTTTCCTGGAAGGGACCTGGTATTATTGGCTACTATGATGAGGCAGAAGCTTTTCATTCGCCCAGTCACACAGGGTCACAGAGGACTGGCAACCAGGGAGGAAACTGTGTCATCCTAGGGGACAGAGGAAGAAGGGGCCGGGGTGAGGACGCAGTGGGAAGGGGCCTGGGACACCTTCCCTGAACTGGCCGGCTGATTCACCCCGGGGACGTTTCCTTCTCACCCTCTGTGCACTGGACTTGGGGAGCTGGATCTCTCCTGCTCCGGGTCACCACGGCGTGGCCTGAGACCCATCAGCCCTCCTAGGTCTCCAGAGGCAGAGGGACAGGCGGGAAGCCCCTCTGCTGTGGGGACCCTTCCCTCGGGCCCACTCACCCTGGGCCCACCCCATACGCACTGGGTGTGGGGCTGAACACACAGCAGCAAACCCACGCTGCACAGGGATGAGGACAAAGGTCCCCCGCAGGGGCCGTGTCCCAGCAGGCAGCTGCACCCACCAAACGCACCTGCAGTGTGGACACTCTGCCGCACAGGCCACTCTGCAGGTACTGGGGAGGTCAAGGGGCAGGGAACGCGTCACAAGGCACATTCCTTCCTACTGTGGTCTTCGTGTCTGCACAGGTGCCTGGGGAGAGGTCACTCTTGGGATCCATGCACAGTATATGCCCTCTCTTCACCCTGTGAAGGCACAGGGGCCTGAGCACACAGAGGGTGGAGTCTAGGGAGTGGGGTTCTGCCCCTCCTTGGGGGGCTGGTCCCATTCCACGGGGCTCTGAGGGCCAGCCTCTCCTGCAGCCACGTTCCCTGACCCACCCACCCCCAGACAAGAGCACCTGCCTGACCCAGACTGAGTCTACAGAGTAGTAGCTACTGCGGCTTTGTCCCGGTGTCCCAGTCAGCAGCTCCAGCTCCAAACGTCACCATGGAGATGACATGCAGGGATGCCGCAGGCACTGCTTCTGAGGCTCCAGTCAAACTGGGCACCCTTACCCCTTGCTCCTGGCCAAACAACCTCACTCCCTGTGGGAGGAACAAGCCCACCTTCTTCCCCACAGCCGGCCCAGCCCATTCCCCACTTAGATGGATGCAGAACTCACATCTAGCTTGGGGTGTTAAAAGCTGAAAACCCAGAAAAAAGAATAGGCAAAGTTCTATCATTCAAAGTGACTTTTCCCACCTCTGTCTTCTGCAGCAACTTCTAATACCATCTGCACTTTTTATTTTAATTGGAAAAACTACACATGCCACATACTGGTCTCCAACAAGTAGAAAACAAGCCACACACACACACACACACACACACACACACACACACACACGAACTTCCAAGGAGTCTCAAGCTGAACAAAATCAGCATGGGATGAGAGACCCTGACAGGTTCAGCCTGCTGGACAGAGCCCTCTCCCCCTCCGACCCCAGTTCACCCAACTGCTGACAGTCCTTGCGGCTCACGAGGACTTCCACCCACCCTTCCTGCTCTTTGCTTGGTGTTTGTGTACTTGTTGACCGTTTTGCAGACAATCTAAGATGAGGGTGCAGAAGCTGTTGTCCTGGTGCTGAGGACTGGGCCCTGGCTCCCAGCACCTGGACCTCTAGGTAGTGACTGCCCTGCCTGGGGCTGTTGTTGGGGGCACGGTGACAGTTATGACGTCTCTTTAGGTGGTAACACTGTCCTTCCCGGCTTGTGGGAGTCCAGCAAGTCTCTCTGCCTCTCTCTGAACTCGGAGGACAGAAACAAAGCAAGGACAACCTCACAACATTCACGAGGGCGGAAGATGGAACAGCACAAGTAAAAGGGTTTCGAGAACAGTCAGAGCTATGAAATATAAAATCCCAGAATCTTATTGGTGCCTCTGTTTCCTCCTCTGCAAAACGGCAGATCCACAGCGCCTGCCTCACGGAATGGCTGAGGAATGGCTGAGGACTGAATGAAATGGAACAAGGGTGACAGTTTGCTCATCCTCAACATGGCGCTCAGACCTTGGCCGGCAGCAGCCTCAGGACCCGGGGGTCAGTGGGGTGCCTGCAGACCCCCGTGACAGCCGAGGACATGAGAGCTAAGAGGGAGGACACTCGGGTGACACAGCCCTGACCTTTCTGGACTCCTGGAAGTAGGTCCACATCCCTCTGCCTGGCTCGAGGAACCCAGTGGCCGTGGTCCAGTACTTGGGTGGGTTTTTCTGTTCTGAAAGGGTAAGGAGGGAGCGATAGCCCTTGGCTCTTCTGACCGTGGGCCAGGACCAGGTGTGACATTGCCAGCCCTGAGTGACCACATCAGCATGTGATGCTCACACACGTCCCACGGGAAATTAAAGAAAATGAGGAGGACGGAGAGGAGGGAGAGAAGCATCCCTTGGAATTTCATCTTCCCTTATAAACAGCTAGAGAAACCCAGACAAATAACAGGGCTGAGGTTGAACCACAGACACCAGAGCTTGGACACTTGCTTCCACAGCTTTTGACGCCTTTGGGCCCCTTGGTTCTTTAGCTCAAGCTCATGGGTGGCTGCAGAACAGGAACAGAAGGACCCAAGGCCCCTGCTTGTGGCGGGAAGAAAGGAAGTCTCCCCTCGGAAGCCTCTAACCGCCCCGCTTCAGTTTGTCCAAAAAGAAGATGGAAAAAGATAACTGGAGTCTGCAGCCAAGCGCACCAGAAAGGGAGTTAAGGAGCGGGACACACAATAACTCTGAGGGATGTCAGCGGGGATGTAAATAGCCACATCAGCAGAAAAGACAGGGAACCCTCCAGTGCGCTGGCTTCATCGATACCCCATTTATCAGCAATTACGGCCTCCATTAGAGGCCGCTTCTCGGCAGACAGAGGCAGGGCCTCGTCCGCGCAGGGGCGGGCGCGGGGTGTGGGCGAGCCCCATTTCAAAGGCTCAGCAGCCCGTTATCACTGAGCGTGGAGTCAGAGAGGCAGCAAAGCGGAGGGGCCCGAGACGCAGCGAATGATTTACTTGACCCTGGATGGGCAAAACTGACAGCAAGAACCTCATTAATTCCTTGGGTCACGCTGGAAGACATTAATTTGGTTTGGGCTCAGGATGAGGGGAGATTTTCCAGACATACACCAGGAATTATGAAATCTCCGTGGCCGGAGAAAGTATGTCCAAATCACTTTCCACATAAATCAAGCTGCCTTTCTGAAGAAGGATAATATGCTTAATCAAGGGAGTTATGGAACTTCTTGTGCTTATTAGACAGAAAATATAACCGTATTTTATTCAGTTATCAGTTCTGGGAGAGGGTTTTTTCCCCCCTCTCTTTTCCTGCCAGGGTGGATGAGCTGAGAGAATGTTGTGCAAAACATTTCGCTCGCCTTTCCTCTTTGTTTCTATTTTCCAGTGGGCGCACACAGCCACCGCGCTGGGCCCTCGTTGGGGCTCCTGGACCCTGAGCCCACCCTAGAAATAACCACACCACTGGCCGGAGGTTTTGTTCCCTATGTGTTGGTGGCTCTGGCCAAAATTAAGAAGTCTGGGGTCAAGACAGCTCGGGTTGAATTACCAAGGGCGTGTAATCCTGACCAGAAAATCTTCTCTGTTCTCGCTCCAAGTTCGTACGAGGTCGTGCACAGATGCACACAAGGAAAGCGAGCCCAAGGGGCCCCCCAAGAACGCACTGCTGAGCTGTGTAACTGAGTGGCTCTCCGACCTCAGCTTTCCCAGTCCCTGGCTGCTTTGCGGCAGGAACCGAGGAAGCAAAGGCGTGGGCTGCTTGGGTGGGGAGGTTGATGAAATTCAAAACCAGGTAGTCAGTTGGGTTGTTTATTTACACGAGTGAGTGACTTCACTGTAGGGATCAGAGAGAGACAGAGACGCAGACAGGGATGAAGAGAGAAAAGACAGAAAGAGACAGAGAGGGAGAGGGACGCTAGACCGCGAGCTCCCGCCCCCGCCCCACACCATCCCCCCTGTAAAAGTCACATCCATCATGTGGAGAGCGGGGTTATCTCCAGCTGAGGAGAACATGCATTAGTGTGTTTTACTCATTCAACACTGAACACTCCCTATCAACAACCGTCTGCTTCAGCGGACTTCGGGGAGCAAGGGTGCATCGCAGGAGGAGCCGGGTGAGGGAGGCGTCCCGCAGAGTGGGAGAGAAATTCATTAGGGCTCGCCTAAGGATGGAAACGCAAAGGCCTACGCCTGCCCCGCCCGCCGCTCACCCGACACCCAGAGCCCCTCTCTCCGGGCCTCCCTTCCACTGGCTGATGGGACGGAGAGCCCGGGACCAGAGGTGGGACTCAGGGCCCCCAGCCGCACAGCCCTGGGCAACAGGGTCGGGCCTGGAGCAGCCCAGCGTAGGAGCACCCACACTCCACATGCTCTGCGCATCCCACCCGCTGCATGCACCTCCCAATTCCCAGAGGGGAAGGCGCCTGGGACCCCGAAACCTTCCTGGTTAGAGGCGCCATTGTGTTCAGTGAAATAAATCAGACCCCAGCTCCAATACCACACGGCTTCTCTTACATGAGAAACCCTCATATAAACAACGAGCAAAATAAAGATAGGCACTGGGAGACTGGCAGACGGGCGTTTGTAACACGGGAAGGGGACGTAAAGAGCACCAGTGTGCTGTGCGCGTGCGCCAGCTCCCCGCCAGGAGGGTGAACACTGTATCCCGCTAACTGGGGCTGACCCGGGCTGAGAACCCCACGGGCGCAGGCTTGCAGCCCTGTCCCGGCTCAGATGTGCGGCCTTGCGTCGCTCAGGTTCCCTGAGCCTGGTTCCTACACAGCAGGGTGGGAGGACAATGGTGGGTTGGAGAAGATTTTCCTGTCCCTGTCCCGCTACTGCGGGTGGATTGGGAGTGAG